GGTTCGTTTTATGTTTGAACGCAATCTTCAGGCCATGAAAATGACAGTCGCCACACAGTCTTCATCTCAGTGTCTACTTTTATATTAGCATTTCTTAAAACTATATTTTCATCAAATATATATATATATATATATATATATATATATATATATATATATTTCTATATGTAAACGTGAATCAGTAAGTTTGTTATCTGAAACATATTTAACTGAACGTTTGTTGCAAAGATTGCACTGCATAATATTAAATTAATGCGATTGTTATTTTCCATTGAATTAAGTGCATTGACAGGAAATGATTTTATGTTGAAAAATATTTTTGTCGTGCAAAATAAAGGCTTTTTTCTTCATAAGGCTGCCGGTTTATTAGTGTTGGTTTGTTGGGTTTAACATTTCAATCGTTTTTGGATTATTCAATATCGCATTTAGATTTACTGATGTACCTTATATATGCATATTTATATATATGAGAAGAGTTGGATGTCAGTTGTCAGAAAGGTATATATATATATATATATATATATATATATGTTTATCTGAAAAAAATTCTAGTCTGACATGTTTCGCCAATAACACGGCATCGTCAGAAAAAGACTACTTTTTTCTGATCATGTCATCGTCGAAGCATTGTTAGAATTGTTTATGTTGTATTTTCTATTGGTTTACATTTAGTGTACCCCTTAACTTTGTGTTTCTCCAATGATCTCTGGTTTTTTACTACTTGTTTGACGATTTAATTTAGGTTTTCGTTGAATTTTTGTGTGTGTATATATTTTTATGTTATAACTGCATTTAGATTTACTGATGTACCTTATATATGCATATTTATATATATGAGAAGAGTTGGATGTCAGTTGTCAGAAAGGTATATATATATATATATATATATATATATATGTCTATCTGAAAAAAATTCTAGTCTGACATGTTTCGCCAATAACATGGCATCGTCAGAAAAAAGACTACTTTTTTTCTGATCATGTCATCGTCGAAGCATTGTTAGAAGTAGAAATTTTTCAAATTTTTTTTAAAGATTCGTGTCCCTTCAGGACGTGGACAATCAAGGCTCTCCTCAATTTCCCGTCCTTTGTAATTTTTATCTTTTCGCTCTCTCCTAAATTCTTCTGCCAAGAATTTATATAAGTTTATTAGGTAGGTTACTCGCTGCATTCCTCTGTTCCTCTTTCCTTCAATATGTCCTGTGAGTGTCAGATTTTCCAAACCCTCTTTCATCATGCTGTAGAAATTTCAACTGTCTCTTCCTGATGTTAAATATAAGTGTAGTTTTTGTTTCAATAGTCTCTAAAACTTTGACGTTGCACACATGTTTGATCCCTGGTATCCTCAGAAATCTTGTGTAGAACCACAATTCGCCTGGTTCAAGTCTCTTCTTCATCTGTGAGGAAATCGGCCAACATTCACTGGTATATAGAAATAGTGGTATTACGTAACAATTCTTTATTGTTTTCTTTGTTCTTTGCTTAGCTTTCGGAAGATATCTTTCGCTATCCCAATGATTCCTCGGATTTCCGTCCTCTCTTAAAACACCTCTTAGATATTTAAATTTTTATACTTGCTTGATTTTTGGTATTTCCAGCTTCTAATTCACATGTTGGGTTCCTCTTTTCGTTGACAACCATGGATTTTGTCTTCTTATAATTGATGTTTAGTCCTTTCTTTCAGCTTTCCCTTACTATCTTCTCTATTTTCCTTTCTGTGGCCGCCAATAAGGAATTCTTGTAGGACTTCTAATTCTCCTAGAATCACTTCACTGTATAATTTGAATAGGTCCAGTGAAAACCCATCTTGTCTTATAACCCTTTCTATTTTTTCATTTACTATTTGTATGCTCATGTGGAATAACGACAACTTTGACTGATAAGCGCTTGGAGAGTAATCGCCCTGATATCACACTTATGCACAAGAGCAGCCATGAATAAATCCTAATAGACGTTGCAGTACCTAATTAAATACCTAGTAAATAATAATAATAATTGTTGCGGATTCCGGGATGAAATCCGGTACAAATAAATAACAAACGCCAAGAATGAATATAGGAAAATAATGTATTAACGTAATAATACAAACTGGTAATGCAGGTTAGTAGTTCCAGGAATACGGGTTAGTAGCAAAATATATATACCGTCTTTGGTATTGAAGTATATTGGTATGACTGCTTATTGAGTCTATGTGCTCGCTCACGGTGGCTCTTGCTGGCTACGTTTGTTCTGTCTGTCTGTACCTTCACCCTCGGTTGCTCTCGTCTTACACGAACAAGTAGTATATGTATATACTGGTTGAGTCCATTTGTGTAAAAAGGGGAGGGCCCCTCAATAGTAATAATAATAATAATAATAATAGGCTGGAAGGGTAGAAACGCGGTAGGAACATTTATCTCCGTCAGTAACTGAAAATTAACAAGTAAAGCTTATGTAGGATAACAACAATCTTAACTGATAAGCGCTTGGAGAGCAATCGCCCTGATATCACACTTGTACACGGGGAGGGGTCATCAATGAACCCTGCCAGATGTTGAGGTAACTTGGAATAAGAATCTCGTGAAGCAGGCGAAAATACATAGATGCGAAGACCTGGCAAGGTGTAATATACCAAACAGTAGTTCAAGTTGTGTTCCTGTTGTGCTTGGTACACTCAGGAATGTCTCCAAACCTCTGACATGCAAAGCACTTTGGGAAAACCTGACATAATTTAGACTTTGCCCGTAGCAGTGCGGCATTGAACAGCCCTCAGATTGATTAGAAAAAATAAAAAAATAGAAAACATTGTACTGACAAATACAGCTCCCACAGTACGGAGACTTTTATCTATGTAAAATATATGTGATTTTAGGTTTTATTTTTTTGTTTTGATTCGTGGAAAATGTCAAGCGGCCATTTCTGTTCTTAGGTTTCTGGTTGGAACCCGGAAAAACATGTCCATTTGGGCGTGTTCTCCTAGAGTCTGACACACTGTGTATCTTTGTTACTTTCCAGTTGATTAACTCCCACTATGGTACATAGAATTTGTGATTTAAGCGCAGTTATAGATTGGCGGACATCTCTCATCAATTTAGAGTTGAACTGGCAAGATGCAACTGTGAGTTCTATGCTAACAGCTACTTCTATCGCGCTTATCGCTTGCGGGCCGCTCTTCTGGCTTATTGCTTTCCATTCAGCTTTCATGTTCAAAAATGTAAATGCAGTATCAGGCGTCATCTTCTCTCTGCATTTTCTATATTTTCATAATATTTGTTCTGATGAGCTTTCTTCTTTGGTACTTAGATTTACGAACCCAAACGCAATACTAGGTTGGTAGTTAGGTCTCATCACCTTATGGTTGGAATAGCTAGATGTAACCGTAAATTCATGACAATTCTCTTATAGCGTCCAAGGACCATAGTTTGGCCTTGGCTCTACAGGACACAAAGCATGAAACATAACATACACATATACTACTACTACTACTACTACTAATAATAATAATAATAAATATTCTATGCCTCAGCAGGTATGTCATTTATGTACTTCTTATCTTATGTAATTGAAGGTCTTAAAATTGATGTATTATATGTTATAGTCAATATCCCTTTCGTTACCACAGATTTGTCATTTGTCTGACCATAACCTGTTGCGCATGTCTTCTAGATGCCGACACGCAGTGTATCTTTGTTACTTTTCCGGTAATTCTTCTGATTAATTTCCCACTATGGTACCTAGACTTTATGGATTTTAGATGCAATTCTCGATTGGCAGCTAGGTCTCATTATTTTACGGTTGGCATGGCTAGACGTAACCGTAAGTTCTATGCTAACAGTTACTTCTCTCGAATTGTGGAATTGTCTGCTGACATCTTGCTTTCTATTCAAATTTGATTTTATAAAACTTTAGATGCAATCGTTATATTTTTTCTTTTTACTTCCTTTTCTTTTATTGTTCTCTCTCTTTGATATTCTTTCACACTCAGTAACCTCTTGCTTCTTAATACCTTAAATGTCATTCATATAAAAGTCTAGATCAGACGACGCTATTTAAATATATGATTCGAGTTTTCAGGTCATTATTTTGGTTTTGCAACATTTTCCAAAGTTGGACAAAAGTATCCCCAACGCAAAGTATCCTATGTTAATTTCTTTATTTACTATGATAAATTCGAGTTATTTCAAGTGTTTAAATTTTGGCATACTAAATTTTTATGGTAGCATTAACTATGGGGATGTTTATAAAATTGGTACATCTTTGAATGTAGTCATTTTCCTACCGTATGACGTTTATATTTAAATTCATTTGGGGTGTGGTTAGAACTTATACATATTAGAGGGTCAATAATTGCTTATACAAAAGTGGCATTTCGGATTTGTTTTATTCCTTGAAATATGTGCATGGTAGGATCTTGTTATTATTATTATTATTATTATTACAGTGTAACCCGGATATAAGAGAGTTGTCGGGATCGGAGAAGAAGTCTCTTATGTCCGGGTTTCTCTTATATCCGGGTTTGGTCTATTTTGTTTAGGTAATTATGGGAACACTTCATATAACGCTTTTTACGTACAGAACACTAGTTTATTTAACAGTTATAGACATGAAAAACACAGACAAAAATACATTTTCAATCAGTTTTCAAAATAATTCAATCAAAAATTACTTTTTCTTAAAAAGTCAGTCATTTTTGATTGTACAGAAATCTCTTTGTTAACATCATGAACACTTTCATACAGTCCGTAAATCATTTTCAATGCGCCATCAGGATTACTGCTTTTTGCTTCAAAGTAGGCTGTCAGAGTTTCAAGCGCATTCAATGCAGCCAGAGAATTTGGCACTGGTTTGTCACTTTCAGAAACTTTAGAACTTACGCTTTCAGCATCATCATCTTCGTCAAAATCTTGATCATCCGATTTTATACCACGTGTGATGTCCGTGTCAGTCAGTTCTCCATAACATTGTGTACGGTCGTCGAAGCTGATAAATTCGTCAAAATCTGTTTGCCGTGGTTTTGCCGACTTACCAACAACTACAGCTTGCTTTTCACTGCCGTCCATGTTTGTGAACTGAAACATCGTGAGTCTGTCTTTGGGAACTTTTGTCCCATTTGGCTGTTTGTCGCCGGCAAATCGCAAAGATCCAGATGGCATGGCTTTGTAGAAAATTCCCGTTTCATCACAGTTCCAAACATCTTTTGGATCATAACCACGAAAAAGTTGCGGCAAAACGTTTGTCACCCATTCGTTGGCAGAACCGTGATCTGCTGACGTTGATTCGCCGTGAAATTTTTTGAACGAAACGTTATTGGCCTGCTTCCAGCGCATGAGCCAGCCATTGCTCGGTTCAAAATCAAGATTTACGGCCAGTTGTGATGCTCTCTGCCTGATGACGTGATCGGTGACGGTAGCTCCATGAGCACATGCTTGCGTAAACCATTGTGTAAGCGCTTCGTTAACGTCCTTGTGCACGGATTGGCGCTTTCGTTTGCGATTAGTGTTTCCATTCATTTGCATGCAAGATCTGAGATCGTCTTCTTTCATGAGAATTTTTGCTGCTGTTGAATAACCGATTCCGTACTTTTTGGCTGCAGCGGCCAGTTTGAGTTTCTTCACTTTGACATCGTCGATGAGCTCCAACTGTTCAGAAATGATCAGAGTTTTTCGTTGACACGCCGACGCCGACATCACTAATCGCAATGATCGCAAGCAAACGGTTTTCAGTGGCAAAATGAACAAACAGACAAACTTCTGACTCAACAGAACAGTGGGTAAAGTGAAAGTGCTGTCACAAGCAAAGTCGGCAAAAAAGCGGGCGGCGCAAAATCATAAGGTAGAGGGTGTCTCCGACAGACACAGATTGGACACACCGTGTCTCTAGACTAGTCAAGATTAAGTCATTGAACTTCACTCTCTCTCTAACTGACCTCTGTTTGACCGATTTACGACATCATACTGTCACTCAAAACGAACTCTCTTATATCGGGGAGGACGGGACCAGAGAAAATCTCTCTTATATCCGGGTCTGATTTATATACATTAACACAGGCTCTAATTTGGGACCAGAGAAAATCTCTCTTATATCCGGGTTTCTCTTATATCCGGGTTACACTGTATTATTATTATTATTATTATTTCCTTTTGACCTCTGTTGTATATCAATTTCATTTCGGGTCTCAACGAGAGATCTACAACGGAAATAGCATCATGACATTTTCAATGAACATTTTTTCTGTAAAAGAGTAAAAATAAAATAACCTCAGATTACACGCATTTTGCATGGATAAATTCCTTCGTAATGTGTGAGCTTTACATGTGAGATTTTTTTTTTAACAAGGACATTTTCCAATCAAACCCAGTGCCCCAACCACAAGTGAAAATACGGATGCCTTCACGCGCCACAATTTTAGAATTCCACTTCAAGATCCTTGTACATTGATATATTTTTCGTTAATGATAAAGCACAACGTTTTTATGGTCTTTGATCTCTATGTCCAGACGATTAGATTTGATTGTTCCGTCAGTGTGGATTGTAAAGCCCCAGATATATTATTATTATTATTATTATTATCATTTTATTTCCTTTGGTTGTTGATGTATATTCATTACTTTCCGGGTCTCGACCAAAAACCTAAGGTCAGAAATGGCATCATGGCATTTTCCACTGAGGAGGCACTTTTTGTCTTTGCAGTCTCTAATCACGATGTCTGGGCAATTAACTTTGATTGTTCTGTCTCTGTGTATTATGAAGTCCCATGAAATTGTTGCAACCGGATTTGGGTGGTGTTCATACCAATTTCTTGCAGATTTCTTTTCCGTAAGTGTTGCAGATTTTCCACTGAAGATATTGGCCCACTCTCTCTCATGCCGGGTTCTATATTCTGTGGGTGCCAATACCGTGCAACCTGATACAAGATGGTCAGTTGTTTATGGATATTTATCACAGAATCTGCATTTCCTGTGTACTTGATAATTTCCTGTTGTACTTGATAATTTCCTGCATTTCATATGTGTACTTGATAATTTCCTGCATTTCCTATGTGTAATTGATAATTTCTAGTTAGCAGACATTGGCAGAAATTAGAATAAAGATTTGTATTTTAATCTCCATAAGCCAGTCAGTTATGTGCCATGCGTGATACATGCTTAGGTGATCATGTATCTTTCGATACATGACTGACGAGGCAGATTATTCCCGCAGCAAGGATAAAACCTTCAGTTTCAGCTTTTAACCCTGCACTACGTAGCCACTGATGGGTACGGAGTTTGTCTACATCAGCTTGTTTGGTACGGGCAGAGTATTGACCATAAAGCGGTTTATCTTGCCATAGTTTCTGTATCTGGTCGGTTGCATTTGACTTTGTTTCCTTTCTTATATATTGTGCAATTACAGTCGGTGTATTGTGCTTTACTTATATTTCTTCACGCATTTGAAACACCATTTTGGACTTGTTAGCGTCCTTTATTGCTGAATAAAGTCGCTTACTACTTTCATATTCTTTCATATATCATCATGCAGTAATCTGTAGTTTCCAGGTATCTTTGAAGGCCAATTGTTGTAGTTTTGTAAGAATGTTCTAGTTGAACTAATCTTCTGCCGCCTAAGGATCTGGGCACATACAGACGATCAACATCAACTTTGGGATAATCCATGCAGTGGCAGGTGGGAAGCTTTCTCGTTTTGACGTCCATTGCTTAATGCCAGCTATGGTACACTATGCATATTTAAAGTGTATTGCACCACAGGGAGGGCGAAGGTGTTTATAGCTGATATTCTGTTTATAGCTCGGCATTCAGTACCTGACGCACACGCCTGTAGAACTCCTTTCTTACTTTCTCCTTCATTTGGGTATGCTATATTCCGTCTCCTTAGCTAATTTCGAGGTACTTATAAGGATTTTCTTGTTCCAGTTCCCTAATCTTTGTTATTATTATTATTATTATTTCCTTTTGATCTCTGTTGTATATTCATTTCATTTCGGGTCTACAAAGGAAATAGCATTGTAACATTTTCAATGAATATTTTTTTTGTAAAAAATGTAAAAATAAAATAACGTAAGATTAGACGCATTTTACATAGATAAACCACTTTGTAATGTGTGAGCTTTACTTGTAAGAAGATTTGTTTAGGGACATTTTCCAATCAAACTTAGGGCACCAACCACAATTGGAATTATTGGTAACTTCATGTGCCACATTATTTAGAATTCCTTTTCAAGATCCTTGTATTTTGATAGATTTTTAACATCTGCAAAGATACATTACCGTCATATCAATAAAAAACCACATTCATTTCTTATGGTTTTGATCTCTATGTCTGGACGATTAGATTTAATTGTTACGTCAGTGTGTATTGTAAAGCCCCAGATATATTATTATTATTATTATTATTTCCTTTGCTTTTTGTTGCATACTCATTTCAATCCGGGTCTCAAAAACAGACCTAAGGTGAAAAATGATATCACGATCTTTTCCACATATATATAAATAATAATAAAAAAAACAAGAGAAAATACAAATATATACACATTTTATATAGATAAATTCCTCCGTATTGTGTGAGCTGGGCTTGTGAAAAAATGTTTTGTATTTATTTAAGTGTGTGTGGTATCATCTTACCAGAGAGTAATTTCTGGGACACGTGATGTGAAGGAAGGGCCTGAATCTGATACTCACGTGACGAATAGAGGAAAAAAAAAGAGACAGGGAATGACATACGTGGCGGGATTGGGTGGGTGGGTGTCGGAGCGTTGTCTGGAGGAGTTGGCAGAAACACAAAACCGGTTGAGAGTTGCAGTGGATAGGGGGAAGTGGAGGGCCATGATCACCTACGTCCTGAAAGGACACGACACATAAAAATAAAAAAAAGAATCTGAAGTGCCCAAGTACCCTCCGTGGCCTATGGTTAAAACGATCTTTTATAGGAGAATTATCGATGCAAGTTTTGTGAGGGTTTTGTTGATATATGCATTTTCGCACAAAGTAATCTTTTGTAACTCTGAGATGCTGATGTGTCCAGGAATTTTCACATGATTTTCGGTACATTTCAACATCTTCTTCGTATTATTATTATTATTATTATTATTATTATTATTATTATTATTATTATTATTTCCTTTGATTTTTGTTGCATACTCACTTCAATCCTAAGGACAAAAATGGTGATCTTTTCCACATATAATAAATAAAATAAAAACAAGAGATCGTACAAATATATATACATTTTATATAGATAAATTCATCCGTATTGTGTGAGCTGGGTTTGTGGAAACAATGTTTTTTATTTATACAAGATTTTTATTATGAGTGTGTATGGTACGATTTTACCAGAGAGTAATCTGAAGTATCAAGTACCCTCTGGGATCTATGGTTAAAAAGGCACTATTGAAGAGTCATCGATGCAAGTTTAGTGAGGATTTTGTTGATATGTGCAGTTCCGCAGCAAATAATATCTTGTAGCTCTGAGATGATGATGTGTCCAGGAATTTTCACATGATTTTCGATACATTTCACTATCACATTCTCTATTATTATTATTATTATTATTATTATTATTATTGTACAACAAACACGTGTTTATAGGGCCTTTAATCAACGTCCATAAATATTGCCGAGGGTTTTCTCTCAAGGCTGATGCATGAAGTATTTAAGGTTTATGCCTGATACGTCTTAAAAGAAAAATGCAGAGAAAACTGGACAATTCCCGAAACGGCCAAACTCGGCGTATGTGGAACCCTACTTTAACCTTCGACCTTTTGCTATAAATTACTGCCGTTGCGAGGTGGCAAAAGCCCTAACGTATAACCAAACTTCGTTTTGGTTGGTATAAACTTCAAAATCTTTCATCAACACGATCTTTGTATACGTCTGTGAATCACTTTTGAAAGAAACTACGTCATTAGCTCAGAAGCAATTAACAAAAATGAAGAAACAAAAGCCTGAGCCGAGAAATAATGAAAATAAAGTAAATAGTAAAGAAGGCGAGGGAATAATAGCCTCCACCCAAACTTTTCCGATCCCATGACGCTTACTCCTTCAATAATCAAGCAAAAGATGGTGGCACGCTTAATTAATAAGCAATACTGGGCTCGAAGGAAAGAAAGTAAAAGAAAACAAAAGAAAAGAAAATATTCTTAGATCCGAGGTACGATTGGCTTAGGGAAACATGGGAAAAATGTAACTGAGATTTTTCGAATCATTTTGCAAGATGCTAGCGAAAGTGGTTAACAACAATGAAGAGTTGCATTATGACATACGAAATAAAACAAGATGGGGAAAGAAAATGTTCAAATCATTAACTCAGTTTGGTTTGGTTTAAGGCGTATCAACACCTCAATGGGTTATTTTAATCCCGATAAGATTTCGTATGAATAGAATGTGTATTCTTTGTAAGAAATCAGTTTGTAGATCAGGTTTCATTGACATATTTTTATAAAGAAGGTTTTTGTCGAGAATGAAATGTATTGCTAGAAATATTTTCTTTCAAAAAACGTATTGCTGGTATTTTAGTATAAAGAAGAAGAAGAAGAAGAAGAAGAAGAAGAAGAAGAAGAAGAAGAGGAGGAGGAGGAGGAGGAGGAGGAGAAGAAGAAGAAGAAGAAGAAGAAGAAGAAGAATATAGTGAGGAATAGAATGTAGATGAAAGCTGGAGAGAAATCTGTATAATTTATTCATTCATGTGCTAGGTATGATCAATGCATCATTACAATCGGTTCCCTCAAACGGAAATTACTTATGACTCAATCCCGTATTTGCCTCTATTTCTGCAAAACTTTCTAAGTAGATACAATGAAATGAAACAAATCTATAACAATAAAATCAGAGTATTCTGCAGACTAATATACGTAAAACTTTATAATTCAGGCGAACAGAATTTCTGCCAATAGTGTCCTCGCAGTTATCTCGATCGATGTTTATTGTATCATGAGTAATTAAAGATCACAATACTTATCGAAGATCGACTCAGAATTGCGTGATTCCTCGCTCGTCAAGACCCAGAGCAAGAACGATTGTATTATTGCAGAATACGAGGTCTGATCAAAAAGTATTGGGACCGTTGCCATAGTAACGAGATTAAAGTACGCAGATGGAAGCCTTCGAGATTTCCCCTGAACTTTGTCACGCATGCACACTAAATTATATCGTTCTCGCTTGGAAAAAAAGTGTGTAGAGTGTGGTCGTTTCACCACAACACTGAAGTCCCATCAGTTCAACATTTTTTGGACAAGAAAATCATTCTCCAAGTCCGATATCTACCATATTCCTCAGATCTGGCGCCTTGTGACTTTTTTCTTTTTTCAGATGATAAATCCCAATTGAAAGTAACAAGATTTCATCACCTCGAGGAAATCCAAGAGAATATCAGCATTCTATCCCCAAAAAGCAGTCACAGGAATGCTTCCATCAAGGGAAACGACCCTGCATAATGTGTGTGGCTTCCTAAGGGAACTACATCGAAGGAGATTAAGTGACGAATTGTTTTATGTTGTAGTTTTCTTTTTACAGTCCCGATATTTTTTTTTACCAGATTTCGTATATATGTTTCTTTTAATGTTATATACCGTACATATGAACACTAATAGGTATGTCCCAACCCTCATAAATACGTTGGAAACTGTTGTAAGTGTGGGTAATATACTGTCTAAGTAGTCCACCACTATCAGTGGTTTACCTACACGCCGCTGGCGGGTATTGTATTTTGTTGATGTTATAAAAGATTACCATTTCATTTCCAACGTCCATTTTCGTTATTCCTCATTCTTTTCTATGTTACAACATAATATATTCTATAATAATTAATATAATCATTTTGACATGTGTTCTGACGAGAGAGAAAACACGAAACAGAGTCGACAATCGATAACTATTGTGAACTTTAATTATATTGATACAAGAAGTAAATAAAACCATAATTAAGTAATATCAACGAGCAAGTTAGCAAAATCCTTTAGACAGTCAAAGTTTAACTTGATTTAACATCAAAAAAAAAAAAAATTCCAGATTTCTCGCCCGTCCCACTGTTATCGAAGAACTCGAATATTTGCTGACGCGCACCTGATGCAAACTTCATTTTTGACGTTTAGTTTATTTGATTTAAATTCCCTTTAGTTTTCATGTCAAGAGCAGCCACTTCGTTTCTTGGTCCCATTTGTTTTGTTTCTTTTTAGCCAATTAAAACTAAAACTTTTATGAAAGATCTACGCGAAAATTGTCTTCAATTTATCTTCTTCATCGTTGTCTAATACTTTATCTTTTATTTTTATTCTCATCGACGTTTCCTTCCTCCCACTATATTCTTCTTCTTCTTCTTCTTCTTCTTCTTCTTCTTCTTCTTCTTCTTCTTCTTCTTCTTTATTTTATAGTAATTTATTATTTGTCTTCTACTTTTTATTCTCACCCTCTTCTCATTTACGTTCCTTTTCATTCACTATTGTCTTCTTCTTCTTTTCTTCTTCTTTATAGTCGTCAATTACTTTGTCTTTTACTTTCTATTGTCACCTTCTTCTCATTTCGTCCACTATATTCTTCTTCTTCTTCTTCTTCTTCTTCATCTCTTCTTTATAGTCGTCTATTACTACATCATCTCCTTTTTATTCTCACCCTCTTATTTACGTTCCCTTTCGTCCACTATATTCTTCTTCTTCTTCTTCTTTGTCAGCTATTACTTTATCTTCTACTTTTTATTCTCACACTCTTATTATTCAATTTTCTTTTTGTCAACTATAGTCTTCTTCTTCTTAGTCATCTATTATTATGTCTTCTACTTTTTATCCATCCTCTCTTATTTACGTTTCCTTTCGTCCACTATATTCTTCTTCTTCTTCTTCTTCTTCTTCTTCTTCTTCTTCTTCTTCTTCTTCTTCTTCTTCTTCTTCTCTACTTTATAGCCGTCTATTAATACATCATCTACTTTTTATTCTCACCCTCTTATTTACGTTCCCTTTCGTCCACTATATTCTTCTTCTTCTTCTTCTTCTTCTTCTTCTTCTTCTTCTATTACTTTGTCTTCTACGTTTTATTCTCCTCCTCCTCCTCCTCTCACCCATATTTCCTTCCCTCTACTCTATTCTTCTTTTTCTTTAAAACCATTATTTTGCCACGTCCCTTCTTTCTTTTCTCCCCCACCCATTATTTCTGTTCAAATAAGACACATACAATCATTTTATTAATATTTCATTTTATTAGTCTTTCATTCTCTTGTGATTCCTTTCAAGATGTCTAACTCAAGCCGGCTTACTTCGTAAAAAAAAAGCCTTATTGTATCATCCTATTATTTCCCATTCATTAAAACTTCTTTACGTTCCATTACGCCGATTTTATTAATCTATTAATATGGATTATTATAAATTTAATCTTAATATTCAAAAGACTCTCTTCTTCTGGGTTCCCTTGCAAAACATCAAACGCTGCACTGCCAATTCCATCATCAATACAGAAAATTAGAAACATAAGTTAAAACTCCCTTGAGAAGTTAAGATTTTACAAGTAGAGGAGGAAGAGAAACAATACTATGGAATTTTAATTGCTCAATAACCATGAAAAGAATGAGTTTACGCACATCATATTTTTTCTGTCTGAATTTTGGGGTGCGATGTGAAGTTACAGTATCTACACGCAGACTATTGTCCTTATTTTTGTTGTTATTGTCACAACGTTTCAGCCTTCATCAGGTGTTTATCGATCCGAGTAACGTTCAAGAAATGTGAAGCTTTGCTGTCATTTCTCTTTTTGTCTCGTTGTGTACCCCAGTGCTCTATTCTTGCGCCTACATTATTTTCTAATTTTTCTCAATGATGACATCCGTTATCAACTCAGTAGCTTTATTTATTTCCCAACTATTCACTCCTCTCTGAATATTAAGTCTTATCTGTTCAAAAACTTCAAACTAGCAAATAATTTTAAAAAATTACCTACAATCTGCTGTTAACTGAGGCAAGGAATGGCTTGTTAATTTTAATGCATCCATATAGGTTCCAATATTTTAGGGAATTATTATTTACTACACTATTTACATTATTCGGACTATTGTCCTCATCTTTGTCGCCATGTTTATCACAACGTTTCGGCTGTTGTACGCTCCAGCCCTCTTCAGGCGGTTGGAATGTAAAACTGAACCCTTTATCTCGTTCACTGGGGTAGACTGTTCTAGTTTCACGTGCCATGTTTAATGGATGTCAGCTATTTTTCTGTTAATTCCCCTCTGAAAGTTCTCCACTGCCTTAACTAGGTATTGAACTCACACTCTCTGGGTCCTGTCACTGGATCTAACTAACGCGTTTATCTACTGTGCCATGTGTCCTCAAAGAGTGTGAGTTCAATACCTGGTTAAGGCGGCGGAGAACTTTGGGAGGGGAATTAACAGGAGATAACTGACATTAAACATGGCAAGTGGAACTAGAACAGTCTACCCCAGTGAACGAAATAAAGGGTTCAGTTCGACATTCCAAACACCTGAAGAAGGCCGGAGCGTACAACGGCCGAAACGTTGTAATAAATATGGCGACAAAGATGAGGACAATAATCCGAATAATGTAAATAGTGTACATAATACCTCATCTCAGAAATATAGACAGATAATGACTATTTACTGTTATAAAATAACAATTGTGGCACGAGGCCGGAGAGGAAGTGGGATGAGACTGGTGTAGACTAACTAACCAGTTAATCAGATTCCCTACCCATTCATTCATTATAATTTACGCATTCACCACAAGAACTCATTATTCATCATTCAATCCAACATATACAACTATATCACATATTCACAGGGATCCTACAAAAACAGCCATGACATAAAAAATTTATAATGTAACAATTGTTCGTTTTTGTTTTTATCAATTGTTTTTGTTGTGGATTCCGAGATGAAATTCGGTCTCCAATGAATGACAAACGCAAGAATTAAATATAAGAAATTAAATGTATTTACACAATAATACAAAGGGTAATACGGTTAGATCCAGGAATACGGTTAGTAGCAATAATATATATATATATATATATATATATATATATATATATATATATATATATATATATATATACAGTCTCGAAGTAGGACTTCTTTAGAGTCTACGTGCTTGTAACTGTGACTTCTACAAGCGGTTACCTCACACTAATACTCTACCTCCAACTCAATCACAATCTCTGCTCACTCTCTCACTCTCTCTCTCACTCTCTCTCTCTCTCTCTCTATCTCTCTCTCTCTCACTCTATATTCTGACTGACTCTTGGTATTTAACGACAGCGGTCCAAGTAACACTCTGGTCGAGTCCACTTATATGAAAAAAGGGGAGGACCCCATAACAATTTTATAAAAATATATAAAAAAACTAAATACATGTAAACGAAAATAAAATGTAACAATATTCAATCTAATAACAAAATATGTTAGTAGGACCCGTCCACCCCACAAAAAGTAAGATCGACCGCTGAACTCTACCAATAAGCAGAATCAAGAAGTTTGCTCACTAACGGAGCGGGAACGCTAAAATAAATTACAAGAGTGAGGAAATATCAAAGTCTGATCCAGTCCAGATATAAAGAGAACAAAAACAAACTGGGAAGGTTGGGGATCTTGGCATGCATCATACAAAAGAGAATGCCGGTAGTAGGCCAGGAAAAAGAATTGCTCACATTAACTAGGTAAGCCTAGAGAGTATATCTTAACCAGTGGA